TGAATGACGCGTGCCCCTGGGGGGTGGGGGGGCACGGCGGTGGCAGCATCTTTTTGCGGGGGGTGCACATGCATCCACGTGCACCCCCTATGCGTCGTCCCTGCCCACACACACACACACACACACACACACTCTCTCTCTCTCTCTCTCTCCCCCCTGCCTCCCTGTGCTGCGTGGGGGGGGTGCAGGACCTGGAGATGCCCTGTGCACCTGCCCTCTGGGACCAGGGCAGGACTGGCCACAACTCGGCACCCACTGTCCTCATTTCAGCCACCGTCTGGGTCTTGCCCTGAGCTCAGGGATCCCACTGGGTGCCCCAAACCACTGGGACCCTCGAGGTCTCACGCAGTGCCCTGAGCTCAGAGACTGTCGAAGTCCCACCCTGTGCCCGAAGCTCAGCACCCCCTGCATGCCCCCCTGAGCCCAGGCACGGTCTCAATCTCATCTCACACCCCAAGCCCAGGGGCCCTCTAGATTTTGCCCATTGGGCCTGCACATAGGATGCCCACTAAATAATTTCAAAACATCTGAAGCCCAAGGTGGGAGTGGAGGATGCTTGTTGGTAGTAGGGCTATACATGGTTCTTGAACAAGTCACGGATTTGGAATTGATTTGGCTGATTTGACTTGGAGCACAAACATTTTTTCTTAAAAAAAAAAAAAATGTTGCCCGATGTCCCAAGCTCAGCCCTGTCTGGGTGTCACCTAGTGCCCTGCGATCCAGGACTGTCTGGCTCTTGTCCAGTGCCCTGACATCAGGCACGGTGTGGATCTGACCACAGCAGCCAGGTCAGGGTGTCCTGGGGTCTGGGGCATGACTTGTCTCTGCCTGGCTCTGGCAGGGATACTCCCTCTGGGGCAAGAGCAAGGATACCACCCACCCTACCTAGCTCCAAGTATAAATGGCACCAGGGGGCAAGGTGAGGGAGCGTGAGCTGCCAGTGTCGAATCAACCTGACCCAGAGGGAGCCTGTCTTCCTTCACTTCTCCCTACCAGGCACTGTCCTGACCTCCTGAGTCGGGCTGAATTTGGGAGCCATCACCTGTACCTTGCAAAAAGCAGACATTTTTGCTGCAGTCTGTTCTCCCCGCTGTGACTTCCTTGAATTATCTTGAACTCAAGGAACTGGCAGGTAACAAGGTAATGTGGGTACAATGACAGCTAAAAAAAAACAGCCTGCAGGAGCTGTCTCAGGGAAAGTATCAAACCCATCAGTCTCTTACAGACAAGCGGCTGCAAAAAATGAGGATAAATAATTTCAAGATGTTAAATTGAGGACAGAGAATGATAAAAGAAACTGGGCACTGAGATTAAAGAAAGTAATGTGGTGCAAGCAGGAATACACAGTGTAACCATAGCTCTTTGCTGAGGCTGTGTGCTGCCTTGGGTTTTCATCCTTAAGGCCCAAGTCACAGAGAGGAGTGCTTGGCTGAATGAAAATGTATGCTTCAGAAATTATACATGGGCTTGCAGTCTGAAAGGGTGGAGTTACTATTCTCCAGCTGCAGTGCCCAGTCACTGGCTAGGCTTTAACAGCTACTGCAGGAGATGGGAGTAGCAATGCATTTAGTCTAGTCTCCTAATTCTCCACACCCCAGAGTGGTGCACTGGATATTTGCTGGCTGCTTTTTTTTTTTTCTTCTCCTCAGGTAATGTGAGGAAATCAATAGCTGAAGGAGCTCTTTTCCCATCCCGTGTGGGTGGCATACAGCGTTTTGCATGCACAACCTTCCTGCAGCAGGGTTGGAGAGGTGGTACAGTTCTGATGGTCCAGGAAATATGCAAAAAGCCAGGTTTTGAGTTTGTTTGTTTTTTTTGGGTGAGGTCTTTTATTGGAGCAACAGGATAGTTGGAAGAGGTGTTAGACAAGCTTTCCGGCACATCTCTCCCAACTATGCAGTTGGTCCAGTAAAAGATAATTGGTAAAAAAAACTTTTGTATCTTGCATATAGAGGCTTACTTGGGACATTCTTATTAACATTAAAGGGGATTTTATACCTAGCCCTTGTGCATATTGATCAGGGAGTACCTTCTTTATAAACTGTATTGGAAAAATGGGCTAAAAAAGCAGTCTTCATTTTGAGATCTGAGCATAGAGGGTATTGAGTATAACTAAAATGAAATCTAATGGGGAGACCCAAAAGTAGCATTGTACAGGGTTGAGTTATTTAAATCAGGACCATTTAAACTATTTAAATAGATTGAAGATACCAATATAAAATCAATTTTGCAAAGCTTCAACCTTAAAAAATATACTGCAGTTAATTTTATAATTAATTAAGGTGTTTCACTGTCACTGTGGGCAGGGCATCTTATGTTTTCAGAAGTGCTGTAGGCAAAGAAGAAAAAATAAATTCGTGTTCCTACAAATAGCTTTAAAAATTTTTTTTCTTCCTGGCATGCTTTTTTTGGTTCCTAAAAAAACCCCAAAAAACAAAACTCTCAGCTATAAGTTGTTTCTACATCTACTTTGTTGTAATGGGAAAAAATTCTTTATAGACATTTCTGCAAGTGGTGACTGGAAGATTCTAGTGTCTCACTGAACTCCAAGAGCTGGGGTGCATCTATGACCGACTTCCCCTGCATGTGCTCTGACCAATCAGAAGTAAAAATATACATTACTTAAAAAACCAAAAATCCTAAAGCAGCCATTCTTTCAAACTTCAGTTACTTCCTAGAGTATTCTGCATTCAAGCTTCCATTAAAAAATGAACATTTCTTAGTAAGAAAAAGAGTACTGCTCTATCTGAAATGTACTTGCAATTTGAAAGGTTCTGCTTTAAAAGAAATAAAGCATCTACTTCAGCAGTTTAGGATATAGAATGGAAGGATGATGAATAACTAGCAACACTTAAAAATGTATTTAAAGCAAGCACATCGAGTTTGAATTGAGAAAAGCATTATTTGTATTCCCATGGTGTTAAAGGATTTTAATGGAGAAATTTATCAGAGAGAGAGGTTCAGCAGTTCTTGGCATATGCCATGTAAAAGCTACTTGCAGTCAAGGTCCCTCTGAACAGCCAATGCTAATTTTGTTAATGTTAAAGTAGCTTTGTTGAACATATTGTAGTGTTTTTTTGGGTTATTAGATTAGAAATTTAAAATTAATGAATACTAATCCCATTTTTGGCACTGGAAACCTATGGGTTTTTTGGATGCCATTTGATGCCTCTGCCTTACTTGTTAAGTGGCAATACTAGTGTTTGCTTATCTCAGAGGTGTCTAGAAGGTGACCTCCCAGATAGTATTTTTTTGTTATTGTTATTAGAATTGTTTTTTGAGGTATTCTGTCATTTTAATGACAGTTCCCAGGCTTGACCAGAAGTGCCATTCAACATTTTTTGCCTTATTCCACAGAAGTGTAAACATTCTGCAACAGTCTTTCTTCTGGTCACAACAGATAAAAAGACAAAAAAGGAGAAGTGAAAATAGATCTCCTTTTCATTCGGACCCTTAACAGAAAACAAGTGAACATCTTTCTTTCTGCCCAGTTCAGTGTGAATTTGTATGCTGATGGGGGACTCTCCTTTATGGCTTGTTCAAGCTCTGGCTTGTTCAGAGCACAGATTTGTTCCTAATATGTTAAAGGGAAGGTTTGCCATTGAGTAATGGGAAATCAGAAAAAAATCAGGAAAGAATTTCAAAGTGATTTTTGTGCCTTTCAGCTAACTAATTTTTACAACAGTGTGTGGTTGGAAGAATTCAATGATATGGCCACAGTTGTCTCAGTTTTGCTATGAGTCTTTGCTGAGCAATTATATATGTTTAGATAACATTTACTTTTATGGTAAAGCAGTGTGAAGGTAATTAGCACTAAACATCTCCAGTGGTGCTATGGTAGAGTCATATTATTTGCATAGATCTTTTTTCCAATAATTTTAAGCAGATAGATTGACTAAGCTTATAAACAGAACAGGGAAAAGTGTAAAAAATAAAAAGGAAGTGAGCATTACTAATTCCTCTTTATCACTATTCCTGTTTTAAATGGTGTTTCTGTAAAAAGCATATTCAAAGGTAATATGACTACTTTGGGGGGGTACAGTATTTAATAATTAAGAATTCATGATGTTAATGCAGGCACCTTGAAAGAATCTGGTGAGAAACATAAAGGATACGTTGAAATTCCTAGCCTGTCAGAAGAAAATGAGGTGGATGATATAGAGGTAGGTGTCAAAAAATTAACTCCAGGTCCAGAATTCTAATATTACTGGCCAACTGCTCATCAGGAATGATGGGGGGGTGGGGAGGGGAGGTGTGTGGGGACGGAGCCCTGTGCTCCCCCTGTCTGGGGCTGCTCCCTTTTTACCTTCTGCTGCTTGGGGTCTGGGCCTGCTCCCCTCCTCCATCTGCTCCTTGGAGCCAGGGGCTGGCGCCTCCCCCCTGCCCCAACAACAGTCGGCAGGGAGGGGAGGTGGTGGGTAACGGGAGGGAGGGGAGAGGGAAAGGGAGGGAAGGTTACTGGTGGGTGCGCCCTGCCACAGCCGCTGGGTTACAGGCCCTGGCCCTGGCCCAAAGTGGGGAGGGAGTGGGGAACAGCCCTGGCCATGGACTGAAGTGGTTGGGGGGAGGCAGGGAGCGGCCCCAGCCCTGGTCCAAAGGGGAGGGGGCAACAGCTCTGGTCCAAAGTGGCAGGGGGAGGCAGGGAATTGCCCCAGCCCTGGCCCGAAGCAAGGGTGAGGGCATCAGAGGCAAGCATCTGTCCCCACCCTTACCACTCCCCCCATCATTCTGGATGGACAATTTGCTAGTTCTTAAATAAAGACAGTAAATTTGGTGGTTAATTTTCTGATCACTGAATATTACCACTTCTTTAAAAAAAACTCTAAATATCAGGTATGATAACATGACTTGTTTATTTTCTCTGTTGACATCTTCATTTATGTTTGCAATATTAAACAATGCTTTTTTTTCTGTTCTCATATATTTTTATATCTTGTCAATTAGGAATTAGGCATGTATAGTATTTGAATTGACAGGATTTTATTTGAAAAGAATTTGGCTATATATTAAATCTTACGAAATTTCCTTGGTGCTAGCCTACACTATAGCAGATACTTTGGTCCATAAGAAACTTTAATATACCTCAGTGGGTATATTAAATATATAAATGCTCAATCCCCAGCCTGTCAGACCAATCTGACCCATGGAGCCAATGTAATCTGGCTTTTCCATGGCTCCAGAAATGTGGTGGTGGGCAAGTAGTGGCCAGTATTGCTGCCAAATTTTTGAGCTCCGGCTGGGCTGTTTCTGCGTGGGCCAGCACTACAAACTGGATTGGGCTCATTGACCAGATCCAGCCTGTGGATGGACCTGGCACTGCTGAACTAACCCATGGTCAGGCACCACTGATATGTACTATATAGTAGGCAGATCTGCTTGAACTGTTGGTTGGTACTGGATTATATGGTTATGGCAAAGACACTACTTTTGTTTAAGAAGAGATTGTCTCCTTTGGCTTTCAATCAAAGCAAGAAGATTTGCACTTGAAATATTTCATCTATCTTAGTCCTGTCCTCTAAAAACACTGTAATTTGTATTTTCCAAAACTCTCATTTCCCCAAAATGAGAATATCTTTTAATTTGTATGTTTCATTTTTAGATAAATATAAGCAAAAAGAAAGGAGAGGGAGATGTGCTAAAGGATCTTATGAAAACTGAAGGAACTGTGAAAGTAAGAGAGGCACTCAAGGAGTATCTGAAAGCTCTTAAAACAGGTAAATGTGGATAATTTTCTCATGCTGTCACTATTGTTTCTGTTTGTATAGTCTTCCTACTGGAATAGATGGGTCTATTTCTATCTGCGTTGGTGGAAATTTTTCATGTTGCCTTTAAACAAGAAACATAACTACCTATGTTGTAGTACTGTATACAGTTAGGGTATTAATCTCACTAAAATTGAGGCATTCAAAGCTTTTATTTTTAGTTTTTGTTAAATCTTCACATCGTAGTGCCCAGAGGTCCCATCACAAACAGGATAATGTTATCTGAAGAAAATACAACATCTGCCTGAAAGACCGTACAAAGCAGTTGGCCAAGCACAAAGCTCAATGCTCAACTTCATGTAACTTTTGTTTCCGTAACAAAACATTTGAAGATTGTATCAAGGATGTTTTAGAAAACTTTTAGGTGTAAATGGGTGCAACTTCTTGATGTTGGTGAAGCTTAGAAAAATGGAAAAGCCAGCTTAGTGGAAATCACTTGCTTGGTCACTCTTGACATGGGGGAGTGGGGAAAAGCATGACCTCAAAGTTAGGTTAGTAGGTGCCTTGTATTCCTCATCCCAGCTGACTGGATTTATATTTCATTTTTTAATACACAATATTTTTCACTCTTTCTGTTTTTCCTCACAGATTTTACCCTAGGAATGATCTTGCCAACCAAAACTACAGTTGGCCAAGAACTGGCAGTTGAAAGAAAACTGGATGGGAGTACTGTTCAGGTATGTTGGATTCCATTACTACACCAGTTTAACAGAGCTGTTGGGGTCTTGGCCCCCAGGTTATGCTACAAGATAACTGGAGAATTTATCATTTATCTTGTGGCTAACAGCAGACATACATATTGCTAGAACAGTAAGCTGTTTAAAATGTAATTCTGCTTATTGCTGTGGCCTGACCTTGTAGTGCTCAGGTAACGTGGAATAAAGTGGGAAAAAAACCATCGTCATCACTGGGCTATACTCTGACACAAATAGATTTTCAAGAAGGAGAAGCCAAAGTTTGCCTGGTTTCCTCATTTCCTCACAGTTTCTTTTGGAGCTTGTCATCAGAAGAATTTGTCAGTTCCCATGATAATCTGTGGTAAATTGTTCTACTCCTACTTGATCTATTAAAGACGCTCATTGATCCTGCTACTTTGTGTATATGCATCAAGGTTGAACGAATAAATCTTCATCTCTAGGAATTTCATAACTTGTGAGTGCTTGATTTTGCACGCATAACCATGGGGCTGTATCCTGAGTTTGTTTTACAGGATTCTGTTTCGCCAATTGGCATAAAAATTCCAACTGTCAAAATTCTTATGAAAGAGATGTTTGCCTCTTCAGCAGAGGAGCTTTATAGCATCTTTACAACTAAGGAGGTGAGTAGCACTTTGAGCATCAAGCCACATGTAACTTTTTTTGTGATAACCTTTCCAGAATGAAGTTACTTAATTTAAGAGTTTATTCAAAATCAGTAATTTAGGCAAAAACTATAGTAATCACTCCTGCTTTGCAGTAACTGGCTTCAGGACAGGAAATCTGATCAAACAGCAATTGAAGTGTAACATCAGTAAATTAAAAATAACTTGACCCAGCTACATTTGTTCTGATACTGCTGCTTTGTATCTACTAGTACTGTGAGCTAAAGAATTTATGATGCATGCTGCTGGAAAACCTGTTTAGTTTGAGAGACTGTTTCTCTGACCCCTGTGAATTCATATAAAAATTGACAGGTCTGAGCTAATTGTATGGGTTCTATTGGTACCTTTAGATGCAGTAACTATGAAACACTGAAATGTTGCTTGTGAGATCTTTCCGGAGTTGAAAGAATAATCTTTTTTCTGAGCTTTCCAAGAATTTAGTGCTCAGCAGTTGCTCATCCATCCATAGAGGTGCTTACAAGATTTAATCTTGTCACTTCTGTTGTCAAAGGTGGATGGAAAGCTATGTTAAAGAAATTGTGAAGTTGTACTTTGGAAGTCATTTGGATGCCAGTGACAGTCAGCTTTTACTGATGAGATTCTGCGGTCTCCTAGTAAGAAAAATATTGCTTTATAATTATGTTGAACATTATCATTCCCAGCTTATGGATGGATTCTGAGGGTTTTTATGTATTGGATGTATGAGGTTGATAATATAATTGTCTCCAGTAGTGCCTGCTATAAAGTGTTAATAGAAGGTTCTGGGTTGTGTTAGTGCCCTCCTCAGGGGTCTGGGGCTACTTCACAAGACTTTTAAATTGGACTCCTAATACATAAAACAAAAAACAAACTCCTAATATTCTCAGAAGGATCAGGAATAGATATTGGTTTTCTGACATGACACACATCATTGGAGCCAATCTTTGTGGCAGGTATGCCACAAATGAGCCCTACCTCCTCCCCAAGTGTCACTCTAATCTCCTTCCCCTGCCTGATCTGCATTCTTCTGCTGTGCTGCCTGTCCACTCCTGAGTCTGCCATAGGCCACAAAGGCAGGCTGCCTGTGCTGCTTGACACACATGCTACAAGTTGGCCTCCTGTGATATACACCACGCAGGATGTCACCACTTAAGATCTACTTCACAGCTGCTGTGACATAATCCCACTGCTTCTGTAACCATGTGCCATAGCATAAGGTTCAAGTTTCATGATCCGTTTCAGATCAAGTTTCATGGCCTATGGTATTTCAAGATGTTTTCCAGAAGACTGAAGGAGAGAGTAGAATCATCTCAGGCTGAGACTGAAAGAAGCCCTGGGCCGGTAGAAGGTTTTCAGGCGTATGGAGCAGCATGGTCAAGATTTGAACCTGCAGCTGTTGTTCTTTGCCTTTTTCCTCATCTTGGGCTTTGTTAGTTTAGAAGTTAGTCTAGCCTTCTGCCTAACTAAAGACTAGTGTGGCGAACTACCTCTCTTGGCATTTAGTTATATCATATTTTTCTTTACAGGCAGGATTATGTAAAATCAATGATAAATTAGTGGGATACTCTTTAAAAATCAACATCACAGTACAGCCTGTGGAGAACCATAGCATGGATCTATCATTAACTAGCCACAATGTTAGGAAATTAGAATGAATGGAACATCTGATTCTGTTCCTCTCATCACGTGTGCTTTTTGTTTTGCTAGCTGGTGCAGAAGTTTTCTAAATGCCCCGCTTTGATTGATGCAGAAAAAGGAGGAAAACTTCAGCTCTTTAATGGTTGTGTTACTGGTGAATATGTGGAACTGGTAAGTTGAATTTAAGGCATTGTTTGCCTTGCACTTTAAAAATGACACTTTTAAATTGTCTCCAATTAGTGGTCGTTGGGTTTAATTAAAGTTTAAAATGCTTTTGTATTCTCCTGTTTCAACTTTGTTACTTTTGATTGGATTTGTGGTTAGGAGTTAAATTAATTGATCAATGAGACCATTCCAGTCACAACACAAAAGCCTTATTAGGATACACAATAGCAAAGACTTATTGGTACTAATAAAGAGCATGTTTATGCAGCCTTGAATTCATGAAAAAAGGTCTCTTGGCCAGGCATCTCTCTGGTCCAATGTGTTGTTTGCCCCAGGCCCAATGTTTATAGGTGGTTGATTCGACATGCTAATAATTGATCTCTTATTAGTTTTATCTACATTTCTTTGTTTCACTGGAGTTTTTGGAACTAAATGGAACCAGATTTTAATGGCCCTGGGAAAGGAGTCAAGGGCCTTAGCTAAGGTTTTTTATTTTTTTAGGTGTGTGACCCCAGTCTGTTAATCACCTGGTGATCTTTAATCAAGATCGTGTTAATCAATTGAAATTTATATTTTTGAGATAGCAGAAGGACAGATTTCTTATCTTCTTTATGGCTTGCCTTTTGGCCCTTACTCAGTTATTTACTGTCTCTTGACAAGGCTGCTTCGCTTTTTCCATTCTCAAAGCTGCCTTTGTATCTATACTTAGTTGGACATGTAAGCAAAAATACACTTATTATAGCAAAATAACTATTAATACATTTGGTCACTTTAGTTATTAATGTTTTAGGATACAATTGTAATACAGGGTATTTAGGATACAAGCCCTTGGCTTGCTGTTCAGTCATACTTCTGTAACTTTGACTTAGGTTCCCTGAAACTGACCAACCCTGACATCCACACTTTCTGTAAAGTTTGGTTATGCTTTGGATAGCATATGTTTGATTCAAATTATAGCGCTGTTTGTCACCCATAGCTCATGATGCACAACTACAACTTCTCTAATGCAAGTTCCATTCAGAGTTCATTGGATCATAGCCATATAGAAAGACCTATTTTTTTTTCTCCATGAATGTGCTTACATTGCCCTTCATGTGATGAAGCTCTCATTAAAGAGTCATACTGGGAAGGAGGTTACTTTTGTGAAATTTCCTACCATTGTTTCATTGTTCCTATATTAAAAGGAGGGATTGGGAGGGTTGCGGATCTCTGGAGAAATAATCCCTCTTCTATTCAGAGGTAGAAGTTACACTGTCCCTGGCTGAGTTTTCTTGCAGCTGTTTTGTAGCAGCTGGAGAGGAGGGATAAAAAAATGTAATAGACTTGTACTTCCCACCTGTATTTCCATATTAAACAAAATTTAGTAACAGAACTCAGGTCCACCCATTTCTTGTCTGACTCTTTGTAACCTATGAGTAAACATTTGTATGCTGTCAAGGGAATAGAAGTGCATCCTCCTTTTACACACAAATGAAGTACCTCTGTTTAAAATCTGTTATGGAGCCAAGCCCCTGAGAATATTGCTTTTTGTCAGAGTCAGTGATGTCACTACTCCTAGCAGCTAATAAAAACAAAAGCTAGAGGAAAATCTTGTCCATTCACTACCTGGTAACAACTTTAATTTTTTTCCTTCAGCTGAATTGACCTTCTAGCTTCTAATGACTTGAATCACATCCTCAGTTTAAGCTGGTAAACATTTTATTTGCAATTACCATGGTGTTATCTAGGGTTGGCCCTTTGGGTTGCCCTTAAGCAGCTGAGCCACCTTTCCTGTCTGTATTTTACACTGCACCTCACACCACAGGTGAATTTGACTGCCCTGTTTTAACTCAACTCACAGGCAGCTTCTTTTCAATCCCCTAAATGAGCCAGTTGATGAAAAGGAGAGCCAGAGTTACCATTAGATTATGGAGACTACTGCAGCTCAAGTCACCCCACTGTCTCTTTCAATAGCCTCACAAGTACATTGAACAGGAGAGGTGGCAGAGCAGAACCTGAGGGATGGGATCAGTTTATCCTACACCATTTTGGATCCCTCAAGGGCAAAAATAAAAAATCCAATCCCAGTTGCGCATTCCAGGGCCCACACTCACATCAATAAAATCTTGTGGTCAGGACTATCAAAGAGCTGAAATCAAAAGCTAATTTTTGCCCTAGTTAGAATGTAGAGGAATGTGGTCAGTTGTGAATGATACCTGTAGAGCCAGATGAAAAGTGGGATTTTCCAAAAAAGCGTCTGCTAGAAAACAGGAAAACAGTCAGATACAGCAAAAGAACTCACCATTGAATGAAATGAAACTCACCAAAATGAAAACTCAGAACAATTTCTTTACCAAAAAAAATCTTACTTCATGGAAAAGGTTGAACAGTATTATATGAGAACCTTTTGGGGAAAAAAGGAAACACACCAGCACCTTGTATGTTTCCTTGTTTTAGAAGAAAAGAAAAGGGTTAATGAAAAACTTCTGATTGACATCTTATCATCTCACAGTTACCCTCTCAAAGGATTGTCATGAAATGGAGATGCAGGAACTGGCCTGATGGTAGGTCTCTGTTATCATTTTTAAGGGTCTTAAGATCATAAGGGTGGCATTTTCAAAGCGTCCTAATACCAGAAAAATAGAGCTAAACTTGGATTTGTGTATAAGCAAGCACAGTATCATTCGTGGTAATGGCCTCACTAAAATAAGAAGTTGGTTTTTGCTTTTGTAAGAACAATAAGCAGAGGCACAATACCTACTTCCGAGCACTGCCTTTATCTGTAAAACCTGTTATTTGTATAAGAATGAAAACTTTCTTTTAAAAAAGGCACTTGATTCATCAAACAAGTTACTTGTGCTGTTCCTTCTCTTTCTCCAGAACATTATGCAACTGTTGCTTTGAATTTCAAGGATATGGCAACTCAGACTGAATTGCAGTTAGAATTAAAAGGAGTCCCTGTCTGTAATGAAGGTGATACAAGGCAATGTTGGCAGAAGCAATATTTTGAAGAAATACATATTTTACTGCAGCAGTCTGAAGTAAATACTAAATGATATTAGTGCTGCAGCTGTATTAGGGCATTATGTTTCTAAAGCTTTAATTTTTTTTGTTCTTTCCCCATTTTTTAAAAATATTTATGAGAGATGAATAAAGACAGACCTGCATCTGTGATACTGTATATGATTTTCCATCTATGGATCCTTTGTGAATGTGATGTCTTTTAATTAGGATTACAAATTTACAGAGTTTTGAGAACTGATCATTGTTCTGTTTATCTACAATTTAACAGCTTTGGGGAGCGTGAGTATGACTCAGCTGCAGTAGACTTTGTGGTACCACATCACATGTGCAAACCAACCCAATAGTTACTATCTATGGCTTGCTTCTAGACCATGTAGGTTAGACCAAATAAGTGATGTGTATTCTTAAAAATTTCCCAGTATGAAATGTACTGCTCATTAAGAAGTGAACTGGAAGGGCTTTTAAAACAGACCCATGCACTGTTTGATCTTAGAGGAGAGTTTGTGGTAAAGTGAAATGCAGCACTATTTCTTTAAACAGTCGGAGGGAAAAACTGAGCTACAGACTTTTGCAAGTGACCTCATAGCTATGTACAATATTGATGTATATTTACTGTATTTCTTACCATGGTATCTTAAGGCTGATAAGATAATGCAGGCCAACAGTTATGCTATTAGAATGCTCTTCTTTGATTTGTTTTCCTTAGGTGGTATTTGATGTCTTTTGCTTTATCAAAGAAACCAGGGTGGCTGAATGTGATGTTTTAACTTCTGTATCTTAATGAGTCTTGAGGATTAAATCAGATGCAATGGATCTGTAGTTGTGCTCCACTGCTACACTTTTTAAAATGGAAGACAGAAAACTGAGTTTCTGTGGTGGGATAGGTAGGCTGAGTATTGTTTGGTTTCCTTCCTCCTCTCTTTAAAAATGGACAAAAGAAGTAGGAATGGATCAATGTCCCAGGCTAAAGCCCGGCACTGTATTAATCACTATGTTAATGGGAGTTTTCCCTGAATATGAACTGGAAGGTTAAGTCTCACATTAGACTTTAGGTTCCTGTCTGGTGGTATTGGTGGAAATAACACCTCACCCAGGAGCAGGAGTGTCCTGTGCGTTAGTTCTCTATGTTGTCTTACCCTGACAGTCAGTTCTGTCAAGAAGCTTCCTCTCTGCAAACCTTGTTCATCTTAGGTTGTGGCAGAAGAGGGGGCAGCATTCCCCATATCTGGTTACCAGGTTGCAGCTCAAAAGGATGCAGCTTGTGCTAAGAAATGCTGATATGCCTTCCTCCTTTTCCCTGTCACATCTTCTGACTACCCCAGGGTGGGGGGGGGGCGGAAATGCTGCCAACAAGTTGTGAAACTGAAGTCTGTTGCATGATAGGGTAGATTGGGCTCTTTAACCCTGATTGGCAGCCAGTCCAAGAGTGAAGCCCTGATAGATGGACAAATGGATGATCTTTGCTCTGGCAGCTCCTGTAGCGAAGCCAATTCCAAACATACTGGCAGCTGCCTTTCCAGCAAGTGTCTGTATATGCACTGCCCAGGCTTTTGCACCCTGGAAAGGTGATTCTGGTTTCACTTTGTTTTCAAGCAAGGATTATATTCAGCAACCTGATGTCTCACGTGGCATAATTCTATTGTCTCAAGAGACAGATACCTACTACTGTCTTAAAGAGCCATAGATAGCACTACTGTTGTCTTCTGTTGGAGTTCTGTTAATTTAAATTTATATACATAGAGCCTCTCCTTTCACTTTAAAAACCATTCCAGCTAAGGGGGTGTAAATGAATGCAACCGGTGAAATCCTGAATCAGATGCTCAGCAGAGTAAGCGTGAGGGACCATGCCCCGACTAATTGTGTAATATTGGAGTAACAGTTCTGTACGTGAAAGTTAGCTGGGATGTTTGGTTAGAATTCTTTTGCACTGAACTTTTTTTAATAAACTATTGGAATAGGAAATGTGTGACTTTACCGTGCAGTTTGCAGCTTTGCAACACTTAATGAAGGAAGGCAGTGATAAAGACGTGACGCAAAATATGATAAAGAAATGATGCAAAATATGGGAGTATTTCTTACTGTGCATCTGTTTCAGGTGAGAAATCTGAAGAACTGTAAATTTAATGCACAAAAATAGCAATTGAACATGTCAATAAAAAAATTGAAACAAGCTTATTAATATTGTGGTTTTTTTTCTCTATGAACACAGCGGTGCCATATTTTGAGTACTGTGCTTCCTGTTGTACAGCATGAAATTCCATGGGATGCCATACTGTGATAGTCTTACCGTCTCAGTGTGAATGACATTAATACAGGATATGAAAGCCATTACATTGGGGGTCTCATTTGATTATAGATGTGAGCATGGATGCCATGCCACTTTGTTTTTTTTCAAATCATACTGCAAGGCCTTAATCGCTACCCATCAGCACCCTGGCTGCTCTAGTCGAAATAGTCAGAATGCTTGTGGAACAGGCAATGTCTTTTATTAGACCAATTAGCTAGTTGCAAAAAAAATTCTTTATTTGCAAGCTTTTGGGCTCGTGCCATTCCTCAGGCAAAGGAGAATGCAAAGATTGTAACTTTCTCCTAGGTAGAAATTAAACTTCATATTGCACAGGAGAACTGGAGGAAGGTATAAGTTCTCCTGGGTGGAATAGTTAATTTTATGCAAGTTAGGCTTAGATAAAAGTTGGAGCAGTCTGTTTATCTCAAAGGGGGGTGATGGCAAGCAGGATGTTGAATTTTGCCTCTTTCTTGTTAAGTTGTTTTATATTGCACTGGAGGACTGGTGATGGAATATTTCTCCTGGGTAAGTGGTGAAGCTGCTCTGCAGTATGCAATTTTGGCTTAAAGTGCTGGAGTAGGGGTATTTGCTTCTAGGTCTCAGCATGTTGAATTTTGCTTCTTTCTTGTAAAATTACTAGCAGAGGGAGCTGCAGGCATGAGATCCACTGAAAAGCCAGGCTTAAGGATTTCTGACCCAGAAAATTGCCTACTGTGTTTAGGGAAACAGGACTTCATATAGAAAACATGCACAAACCAGACTGCAGCAGAGATCATACCTGAGGCTCCTCATAAATTTCCTAGTGGAGAAGGTCAGTATTAGATTTGTCATGCTAACTGCACTATCTCAAAGGGGCAGGGGGTGAGGTGACAAAGGGGAAGTTTCTCTCATACCACACCTCCAAACATAAAACAGCCCTTGATTTTAGGAAGGCAGAATAGAGACAAAAAACATTTAGCAGAGTTACAAGTTGCATAAAGTAGGGCTAGAACTTAATTTTCAGCCCATTCATTCTCTCTTTCCTGCTTAAGCTACAGTATTAACCTTTTCACATCTGAACTGTCAGTAGCTCTGGTCTTCTAAGCTAAAATGTGAAACTAGCTGTTGCTGAAGACTGGATTCTGAAAAGAGCAAGCAGCCTGCAGGGCTGTGAAACAGGAGAAGAGAGACAACCAGGAGCAGCTAACAGCAAAATTGCTAAAGGAAGTCTAGCTTGATCAGTGGAACATGAAGACTGTTCAAACAGAGAGGGTCATTAACACCTGTGGAGTGAACAGCAATTAGCATGACACACATTATAATGAAGCCAATTGACTGAATACAAATGTCACTGCTGCTGCTGGGAAGCTGGTTTTAAACTCTGGGTGGAGTAGGAGTCAAAGCAGGGTGTAACTGCATCACAAACAATCCTCCTTCCACACCAATCGGCCCCTGCTGGACTCCACCCCTTCCTCAATGCAGCTGCTGGAGAGAAGAGAAGGAAGCAGCAGTCAACTTAGTGTCTCCATGCTTCTATTCTGGGCCGAAAAATAAGCTTCTTTGCTTAAGACATGCTTTAGGGTTGTTGGTTTTGGCTTCTATTCTGCGCAGGAGAGCACACAATTCACTAGCAGACTCTTCGTGTGCTTGAAGAAGGGTGTTTGTGCCTAAAAGCTTGCAAAGCACAATTTTTCCAACTATTTGGTTGGTCTAATAAAAGATAGTTTGCCTAAGACATGCACCCTAATTTGGAAAAATAATTTTTTGGGAAAAAGGCGTGTGTGGTACGTGATAAATAAGGTAATAACTTTTAATTATTGGCCAAAGAACACAGAATTGATTAGGAGTGAAATCCATTTAAAAACCAGGTGCTGGTAGGGTCTGTTGGCACGGTGTGCTTTTGCCTAGAATTCACCAGATATCAGCTGTAATTAAGTCTGAATGGAAAAACAAATTTCATTTTGTAAAAATATTGAAGGTTTTTTCTTGTTTTGGGATGACATCTTTCACATTTTTTGCCTAAAAACATGTGAAAGAGACTGTACAATGGATCACTAGGAACTTGCTTAAGAAGCCAAACACCCCAAAATTTGTCAAAACAGACATCTACAAAATATTTCAGCTTTCATTAGCCAGTGTTTTCCAGTGAAAAGGATTTCTCAGTTCACTCCATAGACCTTCTCCTAACTATGCCCCTCTGCATGTCTGTGCACTCTATAAAAAAAATAATATAAACACAGGCAGAGAAGTACAAGGCCATATATCATTGCCCTCCTTGTTTTTACCGAAAAGGTTTGGCTCAGAGCTATACAGAAATTTCTGCTATCTTCATTTTGCACAATACTCAGAATTCCTAGCTTTAGCTCCATGCTGGAAGGGGAGGAAGTACTTGGTGGTCTCAGTCCTCTGTTAACTGTCAGCAGGCGTTTTAAATCAGGAGAACTTCAGCGGTTTACCTCTGTGTTCCTGCCAGTCCAATCTTCCAGTATCATTCAAGCAGCATTCCTACTCCAGTGCTGGTCTTTTAAGCCTGCCATTAGCTAGACACCACAATAACCACTTTTCTATGGACTTAAGAACAGCCATTATGTTCTAGGTCCTCAGACTCCCCCCACTCTCAGCACGCCTTGCTAAGGGCTAAGCGCCAGACAAAAATCAGCTGGCTCACAGCCTACTTAAATGGAGGCACTTATTTTCTGAAGTTTGCTTCCTTAGTTTCTGTTCACTATATCACAGTGTTCTTTATATATATTATGAAAGGAGGCTCTAGAGGATAATTTCAAGATATCAGAAGCCCCACAACTGACTTGGAGAAAAAAAACATCAGAGGCAGCATGTTCCAATGGTTAGCACTGGGTGAGGTTCCCAAACTTGGCTCTGCCATAGACCCCTGCATGAAACTGGGTAAATCATCTCTGTGCCTCAGAGAGACTTGGGCAGCCAACTCTCCCCATACAACCTTTGTGCCTAACCTCCACGTATGAACTCCATTCCCAAAACCAGGAGCAGGAGCTCAGCCCTGACATGCCTAGGTTGTTGGATTCAACCTAAAGGAAACTTCCCAGTCACAAGCTAAGACACCGAGGAGCTTTGGGCACTTCAGGATTAAGCAGCAGTGGAGCACAGTTGTGACAACATGAATTTTGGATATAGGTACCCACACTGGCATTTTGTCACCTAAGTTGCACCTATCTCCTTTTGCAGATCTAGCCTTAAGAGCCCAATTTCTAACCACTTCTGTTCCCAGCAGATTTTAAGCCTGTGTGTGCTGCTGGAAGAGAAAGCCTTTCAACTGTTTATCCTTGAGCACACTGTACTTGCTAGATAGTTTCAGGGGAGCTCTTCAATATCTGAAGAGGGAAGCACCCAACCCTTTTCTGCTGTCAGTTGGAAAAAAATATTAGAAATCATTACGGTGCTGCTGAGATACTTACCCCCATGGCAGATTAAAACAACCTGAAAAAGAACCCTCCTCGATCAAGCTGGTTAGAGGGAGATGCCAGCATGGGCAGGTTTCATGGAAACCTGCCCCACAGTCCAGACCGGCAGGAGTCCTACCAATCCCATCTACCTCGAAACAACTCCTGTCTCTTCCACAACCCTGCCCCTCTATCTGCTCAGAGTCTAGCTGAGAGGTAGCTTGGACACTTCTCCCACTATTCGTAGACATGCTGCCATCTCCTCCAAGCCAGACTCCTGGCATTCCTCTCTATTGGCAGTAACACAGAGAAAAGATTATAGGAGAGAGAATACTTCATAGATGCATAGAGAAGTAGGCTGGCAGAGACCTCCAGAAGCCATCTAGTCCAACCCCCTGTCCAAGGCAGAATCATCTTTATCCAAACCAACCCATATAACCATGAAGTAAACTCTACATAAGACTGCCCTCAACCCCGACACCCTAACTTGGTCCAGGTCAAGCAGGGGAACCAGGTCAGCCAATGTCCTGCTTCTGTGAAATATTGTCAATCTATGCTCAAGAGGTCCTGGGCAGAGGGCCACATCTTCCGCTACAGTAAAAGGCAAAAACCCCAAAGTTTGTACCAATCTGGCCATGGAGTAAAATTCCTTCCCGAACCCAAATACAGCATTTTGTCTGACCTTGAATGGAGGGGTTAGATCCTCTAGCCAGACACCTTTGGCATTGCTCCTAACAGGAGAATGGGCACACCCCAGTTGAAATCCCCAGCCTTAGCTGTAGCCAACATCCAATGCCTCTGAGGAGGCTTAAAAACACCCTGATATGTATAGCAGAAAAAAAAAAGGGGGGGGGGGGGAGGAGGGGAGGAAAGTGCAAAAGCAACCAGCAAAGCCCTTAGTATGGGAAATAACCATGGTAGAAAATAGGTATAGCTAGGCCTACATTATCCCCACCAGTAGCTGTTCAACCTCGTCTTGAACACCTCCAGTGACAGAGAATCCACAGCTTCCCTAGGGCGTCTGTTCCATTGCCTTGAGGTCCTAACAGTGAACAAGTCTTTCTGGTTATCCAATCTAAATTTACTTTGCTGCAACTTCAAGCCACTGGTCCACATCCTCCTTTCTGAGCTAGAGAAAAGGTGCTTTCTGTCTTCTTTATGGCAGTCATTCAAGTATTTGAAGACTGCTAATCACAACCCCTCTTAAGTGCCTTTTCTGCAAGCTGAACATGCCTAGCTCCTTCAACTTCTCCTTGTATGACTTGCTTTCCAAGCCCTTGGTCATCTTTGTTCCCCACCTCTGGACCCTCTCTAACTTCTCCACATCCTTTTTAAAATGTGGAGCCCAGAACTGCACATGGTTCTCCAGATGAGGCCTAACCCGTGTCAAGTAGAAAGGCGCTATCATATCCCTGTCTTGTACCTAATGCTTCTACTGATGCATCCCAAAACCGCATTCACCTTTTGTGTGGCTGCGTCACACTGC